AAAGAATAAATGATGCATAATAGATGCGGTGGCGTTCCAATTAGCATACGCACAATCAACAATGTGGAGTTTTTAATAAAATGTCAAAAGACTTCATGCCAATTAAAATGCAAATATCAAAAAGTAATAATGACAATTGGTGAACTGTGAATATAATGAGTTCCCTACGAATATGGTTAAGAGAGATGTGATGCATGTGGAACATTACCTGTAAGCGGAGAGCAACACATTTGTAGTGTATATGAGCTCCTGAGAAGCATTCTAGGAGATTTGTCTTTCATATAATGCCTCACATACAAGTAGAAGAAGGATTGTAGTATAAATGTCACAATTCATCAAAGGGTAGGAGCAATAGATGTTTGATGGAATTATCAGTGTCACCATCCAACCATAAGCAACAACCACTTGCGGATCACAAGGGACTCTTAACACATGTTCGACAAATTGTCTACAGATGATGATGAAAGACATGTAAGCTAAGAGAAGACGCACAAAATGTGGTATATGATGAAAGCAAGCTTTTGTAGACTATGACAACATATATGCAATGGATTCCCTACAAACATGAGTGGGAAATATCACAACATATGTAATAAATGCAAAAGATGTTCGCATTTATCGTATGCTACATTTTGTATGTTTGCAAGAGGCTTTATTGTTTGCAGGCAAGTTGATGTGTTCACTGCACATTGATCTTATGTTTGTTGGTGACTGGCATATTCATTTGTATGTTTATTAACATGAATTTTGGGTAATTTGTATTTGTTACAATCTCCCAGACATGTTTTATTAGCGAGTTGATTTCATGTCAACTTTCCTTGCTTGTGTGGTTTAATATGTTTGCTTATATGTTATTGTTAACTGCAGGGCGTTACTGTATTCATTGCATGTTGCCTGTTAACGCCTTTGTGTGAACTATTGTGTGCATGATGGGTTCTTGATTTTCGCCCGTAAGTGAACTGTCAGTGGATGTTTGCATTCATAGTACATTGCATATCAAGCTCTTCTACTTGTAGGGGACTCGTTCATTTCCTAGATGCTTGATTGACGTTGACCGTGAGGGTGTCTTTGCAATCATTGCAAGTCTATTGTCATCATTTATAGGTGGTTTAATGTGTTTGTGAGTTAACTATCATCAATAGCAAGGAGATCATCTCAGTTACAACTCTCTTGCTTTATTTGTAGACATACTGCATTCATTATACATGACCATCGATGAATCATGAGATTCATTGCATGTATGTTGTTGTTGTTCACAGATGGTGGGTTCTTTGTTATGCTTGTAGGCAACAATGTTGTTCAAGGAGATTGTATGTCTGTCTGTAGTCAAATTATACATTCCCTTCAATTTTATTGCTTGTAAGCAAGTCATGTTGAAAACCATAAGTCTTTGTAATAGCTCATTGATGTTCATAACCGTCATTTAGCATTTGTATTTTTAATATGATTGTGCATTTATTAATTTAATGTTCAAATCCCTATAGTCGTTCAAATTCTACTCTTTGTGGTTCCATAATTTGCAAGTTATGTCCCCTGTCGGTTGTGCTTAAGTCAGATCCTCTATTTGCTGGAAAATTCGGCAGCCTCCTAGCGTCTCCCTCATTTAGGAGAGTTTTTGGGAACTGAGCATTCTCACCACACAACAAAAAGTGTGTATGGTAGGTGTCATACAACACCGCGGCTGTAGTTTTTAATCCCATTATGCTACGAAAAGCATTTATAGGTATTCAAGGTACCTGTGTAAAATATTTACAGTTTTTCCCTACAGGCATAGAAACACATGCACGGGTACTTAGGAGTGTTCCCGCCATATTACGAAAGCGTGTACAAAGCCCACCTGCCCGTCGCAAGCATCGCACTGGGTTCCCTCCCACCACATTAAGAAAAACATGTATAGGTGGTTCTCTAGTGCTCTACAAGTGTCGAAAATGGGGTTTTGAGATTTTTTGGGTTTAGGAACCATTTATACCTTGATGAGTGAGGGAGCGGCGATAGTTGATGAGTGAGGGAGCAGCGATAGTGTCCGCGACGACGTTGACAAGCACAAAATATAGAAATTTCTTTTCTCAATTTTTTTTTTCTTTTTCTTTTACTTTTCCTTTTGTTTTGAAACTTTCTCTCTCCCTTTTTTTTACTCTTCTTCTTTTCTTTCTTTCTTTCTTTTTTAAAATAATAATAATAACTATTAATATTAATAAAAACTTAAGAGAGAGGGAGAGAGAGATAGTGGTGGTTTGAAGTGGTTCACTGGTTGGCTGTAGGCAGAGTAGTGAGGCTTTAATGTATAAAGTTGCTATTTTGTATGGGACTGGAGGTGTAAAGGTTGTTTGGGCTGAAGGAATTCGGCAGATGGTTGTAGGGATATAAGTGGAAGATGCAGGTGTATTTGATATTCAAACTAAGAGATGTTGGGAGAGGGTTCAGGTTAGTGTGGAAGAAGGATCGGGATCTATAGTGGTGGAAATCAGGTGAGGGAAATCAGCTATATTGTGTGGCTCTGGAGTTCGGCAAGTAGAGCTGGGAGCTTGGTCAGCTTTGAGGGTGATTGAGAGGAAGGCATGGGTGCGGCATAGTGAAGGTGTTGAGCAGTGCAGGTCGGGATGAAGGGATTCTGTCGATTTGAGATCGGGCAGGGAGCGGTGGCTGAAGTGGGTTGGGCTTGAGAAGGTGTCGATAGGTTAAGGTGGAGGAGTTCGGTCACGAGTAGCTGCAGCTTGAGGATGGGTTCGGCAGTAGGAGATGGAGGCGTGAGGAGCTACAAGTCGGATTGGGCTTACGCGAAAGGTAGAAGACGGAGGTCGGGCAAGTTGGATGAGACTGGGAGCTGGGTGTCGGGTTCGATCGGGAGGCCGAAGTGTTAAGCGAGGTTGGAGTGGGATCGAAGGGGGCAACTTCAGGTGTGTAGAGTAGGCGAGGTCGGGGGTCACGACAGGGAGTTGGGATTGGAGCTTGGGGGATTTGAATAGCTTGTGTGCGGGAACCAACCAAAGGCTTCCTCGCACCTTCTCTTTTATCAATTGAATAGGAGTGTGGTCGAGGCGAGCGTGAAGAGACAGTTCAGCACCATATTACAAAACCGATCTCCGACAAAAAATAGGGATGGACAGCCGTCTGTACAGGGATTTCAGCCGGGATTTTTGGGAGCTTATGATAATATATATATATTATCATAAGCTTAATGTTAAAATGTATGAATTGCTCCCTCACATGATTCCTCATTTTGCGGGCAATTTGATTTGTGCGCGCCGCTTCAAAATTTGAGTCATCGTTGCCTCAAAATTTGATTCAATCACAAGGGGCCCCTGCTTGGGTAAACTCGATGCTCTGATTGTATCGGTGAAATTCATTCGGTGATCAGATGCTATTTGAGCACTTAAGTGAAGCGTCACACCTGCCAAAAGTTGAGTTCGTTGATTGTCACTTTCGTTTCGTTGATTTAATATGTATATGGAGATCAAAAATAAGGTTGAAGATTTTTTCCTATGTGAGTTTTCAAGCTTGGAGCAATGGATCCTCATCTTTAGTGAGGTGAGGTGCACAGAGACCTCTCGGCGATTGAGCTGAGGAAGCCTTGATTCTCAGATAAACTAAACCCAAATTTGTTTTTGGGTAAAGAGGTTGTCGGAGCTTGAGGATTCAGTAAATTTGATCCCGTAAGAGCCACGATTTTCTCCTCTTACTATCCACCTAAGGTGGTTTTGATGGTGAGAGCTAGAAAGCGCCGGAAGCTTTAGAGGGAGGGCTCTACTCAATTTTATCACACATCTCACACTTGCCCACAGACCGCATCCTATTTTACTGTAAATATTGGGCGTGAAAACTCCTCCCGCTGGGATTCTCTTCCAAGATTCATTTCCTTTCTTAAGTCTGATTTTTAGACTGATACTTGAATTATCTCGTCTATTTTTGTCTCATTTTCTTGTTATTTAGAAATGTTTTTTGACTTTGATTTGAATTTATTCAGTTTCCTTACATTTCTGAATATCAATTCTATATATGATTTTAAACCGATATTTTTTTTCGTATGTGGTTTGCAATCATTTTTCTAATTTCTTCCAAAAGATTTATTGATTCATACATTTTTGAGTTTTGCTGCATCTTTTGATGGATCATCCAAGGCAAAAGTTTTTTTTTATTTTTTAGTGTTGCTTACAAATATTTGATTGTTTTATGTATTATTCGGAAATATTTTGATTGCCTATTTATTACTGAAGTTGTTTAGTTTGAATTATATATTTTTGTTATATTAAGCATTGCACACATTTAATAACATTACATCACCCCCTAAATCCTAGATAAATCCTTCTTCACCTAAGGATGCAAAGTATCTCTCTCTGTCACATCCGCAAAACTACAATTTTTAGTGTTTTAATGTTATTTTATGTAAAGAAATTGATGCATAATTTTTCTTTCTCCCCCGCCCTCTCTCTGTTTCTCTCTCTCAGGCGCACAAACTATTTCATTTAGGCGTAGGTGTATAAAATGTCCTTGCTTATATTTCTTTCTTTCTTAGTGGTATCTGTATTGGTAATCAATTTTTTCTAACACTGCCCTTTTTACTATAAATTTGTTGATTTTTTTTATGGGAACGGGGTATCCACCCGCTGCCACCTCTGAAAAGACGCTTGGCGGCGTGACTAATCCTCGGCTAATCTAGAAGAGGCACCCACCCTAGGAGCCTCCTGGCCCGCACTTGATTAGGCCTCACTTAAGAGGTGCTACCGCTCGAGGGGAATTGAGCACTGGTTAGAGTGTTCCCAACTATACTCACCCACTAAAGATGGAAAACTTATTCTTCTGCATATTCTGTCATTATTTTTTTCTTTGATGTTTTAAAATTCTTTCACTGAATTGAACATTGATATTATCCTCATGGAAAATCGTTGTGCAAATACACCTGCATGCAATTTTAATTTGTTTCATTATTCTGTTGATGCCACTAAAGACTATCTTTTTAATAGACAATGATATTGATACGGATTTGTAAACAACATTTTTAGCGTTCCAGAGAAAATTCAGAAGATGGAAGAGACAGTTGCAAAAGCAAATGGATGTACTGTTGAATGCAGCAATGTTGAGAGGAAACTGAGACAGATATTTGATCTGACTGTGGATGAAACTCATTTCCATATGAAGCAGAGTGCATTCCTGTATCATCTTGGCGTCCAGACCATGCCTAAAAGCCTGCACTGTTTGTCAATGAGATTAACAGTAGAGTACTTTAGAGAGCGCCCATTGGATGTTGATACTTCTCATGCTTACAAGGTCAATGATCCAAGTTTACGGCATTATGTTATATTTTCTCAAGACGTACTAGCAGTATCTGTTACCATCAACTCCATTGTCACGAGTTCAATGGTATGACAGAGATTTTAATAAATAGGCAAGAATAAAATTTTATTACGTACTTGTTTACAATTATTTTTGGTGCTACAGGACACTGCTGACGTGGTTTTCCATTTGCTAACTGATAGACAGAATTTCTATGCTATGAGGTTCTGGTTTGCTAGAAATTCTTACAGGGACGCGGTCATCCGTGTCCTTAATATTGAAGATCTTAATCTGAGCAACTTGATTGATTTTGGTGTGACGCAACTCTCTCCCTCGGAAGAATTCCGGGTGTCCATTCATAATTTTGACGAGCCACAGCTCTTGCATATGAGAACAGAATATCTATCTATTTTTGGCCACTCGCACTTCCTCCTACCTGAAATATTTAAGAATCTGAAGAAGGTAATGGTTTTAGAAGACGATATGATAGTGCAGCACGACTTATCAACTTTATGGAATACTGATTTGGAAGGCAAAGTGAATGCTGCTGTTAACTTCTGCAAAGTACGATTTGGTCATCTTGAAACATTTCTAGGGGGAAACATAAATGATAGGAGTTCCTGTCTGTGGATGTCTGGATTGAATATCATTGATTTGGACAAGTGGAGAGAACATAATCTTACGGGAATATATCTAAAACTGCTCAACCGGGTAAGTCGTAGAAACATTTTATCGTGTTATCCTGTTATTGCTATTCTAATTGTACATGATCAATCTCTTACAATTGAACCTTGCCATTTTGATACTGGTGCTGACATGAAATCAAAAAAAGTATTTTTGCCTTTGCTTCTCAATGATGATTTGTTTAGTACCTGTTGGCCTTCATTCAAAATAATAATAATAATAATAATAATAATAATAAAATCTACCAAAATCCCTGCCGCCTGCTCAAATTTCTGCCGAAATCCCTGTAGAGCCGGCAACCCATTCCCGTATCCTGCCAAAAATCCCGCTTGAGTCTTGTAGTTCTGCAAAATGGCACTGAATTCAGTCGCCCATCCTCGTGTGCATGACTTACTGTCCATTTTTCGCTTCGGCCTGCAATGATAAAATGAGAACGAACAGCTCTTTCATTGTTTTCTTCTTTCTCGCACACGAGATCCCCTAGCTCTTCCCGCAGCCATTGTGTCGATCACACAGCTGACTTCCCACCTAGCCCGATCAAACAGATTTGTCGCAAATCCCTTGCCTGGTTCCTCTTTGACCCAATCTCCACTGCACCGAGCTTCTTCAATCCAGCAGTTGTCAACCTCACATGACCCCTCTAAGCTGCAGAGAACCGCACCCTCACCTACTGTCGATCGAAACTCCAGACAACTTAATCGAAGCTTTGGCTCCATGACCCCGTGCCTATAGCACGACCCGCTTCCATCTGCTGAAGCCAAACCGACATCTCTTCCTCTCTTCGATCTTACACGCCTCCACAATCGAATCTGACACATCTTCTTCACAGCCACTGCCTGGTCGAAACCTCCAGCATCCGATTTCATGCCCATCTGACCACTGCCTCATACCTCTTCCTCTATATGAGTGTCAAACTCCTGATCTACCCATTCCAGCCGGACCTATTTGCAGATATGTTGAAGTCTAGGTTGTTCCCTCCTCTACCCCGATCCACACAGCCGAGGATCCACTCCGATCGAACCTGCTCGTGCCTCCTCCCGCTCTCGTCTATTGAAATTGAACCAGAGCCGGCCTCCACCTCCACCGACCTACTCTAGCCCGGACCTCACTGTGTTGATCCTCCTATCCACCCAACCTTCTGACCCTACCCAATCCCTTAGTTGTATCCGCAAAGGTCCGAGCCATAGAGACCACAACTGCTTCACGCCGAATCTCTCAGACCTGATCAGCCTGACTTTCAGACCTCTCGTAGCTTCCACCTCCGACTACAATAGTCGGATATGCAGTCACACATTACAGCTCCATCCAACCTCCCAGATCATGATCCATCCTCAAGCCACAACCGACCCTACTTCACTTCCAATTGAACCTGAGCCAGTCCCTGCCCTAACTCCATTCCCCCTTCCTCCACTATTATAACTAATTATTATTAGTATTAATTATCATTAGTGTTATAATTATTATTATTATTACTATTATTTTTAAAAAAAGGAGAAGAAAAAAAAAAGAAGGGAAAGAAAGTAAGAAAAGAAAGATTAAAAAAAAAGAAGAAAAAAATAAGAAAATAGAAAGTTTTCCAAAAAAAAGAGGAGAAAGAAATAAAAAAATAAAAGGGATATTTTTGGCGCGCATTTCCTCGATTGCTCGACATTGTCACCGTCGTCATCGCCTCTGTGTTAAGGTATAATGTTATCTAAACTTAAAAAATATATATCTAAAACTTCGTTTTTGGCACTTGCATTGCATCGGGGGACCACCCATACACGCTCTTGAAGCGTGGTGGGAGGGAGCATTATGCAGTGCTTGTAGTGAGGCGGGTATGCCCTATACATGCTCTTCGTAACGTGGTGGGGACAACACTAAGTGCTTGTGTATGTGCCATCATACATGTGGGGAAAAATACATTTTCAAACAAGTATCTCGAAGACCCATACACACTCTTTGTAGCGTGGTGGGATTGAAGAACCATAGCGGTTGTGTCATCCAACACTTATCATACATGCTCTTTGTAGCGTGGTGGGAAAGCTCAGCACCTCAAATTTTCCTTAAATGGGTGAGTAGTCGGGAGGCTGCTGAAATGCATGGAACAGAACTTAAATAAACTACAGGAAAATTGAACCTAAAATCTAAAACAAGAACCTATAATTTACAAAATAACAAAAATTAAACGTACAAGTAGAGGACTCGTGACAAACAAAACCCTCTACAACTAGGGGCAAGTGACTTACAAACACCATAAAGAAGTAATTTTTTTGAATGCACTAATCCATCAAAGAAATATCAAGTTTAGGTTGAAGTGTGGTCCTCCCACTATCAATGCTGGTCAACATGTCCCTACAAATGGAAGAGGTAAATGTACAATGAACATAATAATTTGATGCATTCAATGAAGTTCAAAGTACATGAAATTCACACAGTCAATACCACTCAACTGCAAACACTACTTTCTTACAAACAAAGATCGAACAACCGATGCAAGTGAATGTAGCAAATCACCGGCTAACATACATGAAGATATTGGCGATGAGTGTAGCTCAACTAACAATCAACAGCAACATGCAAGTGTTGACCTCTGGATCAAATCCAAAAGAGCAAAAAAAAGAAAAGAAGAGAAACCAAAAATCCAACGTCCATACCTTCTGTAACCGTCGGATCCTCAAAATCTTCCTGAAATCCCGCCGGATCGCTGTGCAGTCGGCACCGCTCCGAAAATCCTGCTCAAAATCTGTGATCCTCTCCTCGATCGAGCCCCGTTTGTCTCATTAAATACCGACCCAAACAAAGCCTTCCGCTGCTCTTCTCCCGTTCGATCCCACACACGACTCTCTCCCACTGCCGAGCTCTAGTCGCTGCCTCTCTACCTTCCTCCATTTCGCACTCGACTCTAGCAGCCGAACACCCTCTCCGATCTCCTCTCTTTCCTGCGACCGAAACTCAAACCCAACGCCAACCCAACTTCCGAACTCACGGAAGATCTCCGAAGCCTCCTCCCTCTTCCCGATTTCCTCAGCCGCCCAGTCTCGCCGACGTTCTCCACAGCCCGATCTTCCCGAAGCCGCAAGCATCCCGCCTCTGTTTCCCCGTGCCGGCTTCCTTTCATCCACGCAGAGAGAGAGAGAGAGAGAGAGAGAGAGAGAGGAAGACCCTTACCTCCTTCAGCCGTCTCCTCCCTCTGCCGCCGTCTGACCCCGCTCCTCCGAAGACTTTCCCTTCTCCTCGGATCGGAAGGAACGACGTTCCCTTCCCTGTTTGATCGGAAGCTACAATAGGAGCTCGCGGCTGTGTAGGTAGCTTTCTCCCTTATGCGCACTCCATTCGGCCAAATCCCGTGAACCTACCGAGCCTAACCGAGAGAGAGAGGGAGAGAGTTTAATTAATTTAAATTAATTTTGATTAAAATTAATTTAAATTAATTTTAATTATTTTAATTAACTATAGTTATTATAATTAATCATATTTAATTGTAATTAAATAGTTATAATTAATCTAATTAATTATGATTAATTTAATTAGAATAAATTTAATTAATTATAATTTATAATTATTATTAATTACTATTAATTAATTATAAGTTGTTAAAATTAATTAATATTTATTAGTTATAATTAAAGCTAATTATAACTAATTATTTTAATTAATTTTAATAAAAGAGAAGAATCACATCAGTGTAGTCTCCTAACGACAAGAGCAGGAGATAGGTTATGTGCACTTAATAGCCGCCTACTAAAAATCACAAAACGTGCAACGACAGCACCTGTACGAACAGCGAAACAAGTCAATTCAGGAGCTGCTACAATACGCCCACCGGCAGCAACTTCCGACAAGCCAGGGAACAGGAGAGGCTATATATCCAAGTTACCCACCGCACGTGCACAATAGTTTGTATACACATAGCACACTTAAAAGGGGTAAAAGTATCAGACCCCAGCAGGGCCCCGACGAGCGTGTTTTGGAACATCCGTGACGTCTAGGGAATGCTGCGCGAGTTGACAAGTGTGAATTCAAAGGTTCGAAAATCGATCTTTCTAATACGGTCAATAGAAGTCGACAGGTTTCAAAACCAATTAAGCAAATATAAAGCTGTGGCGAACCGGTATATTTGCTTTAAAACAATTCATAATTAGGCACAGGCCACAACAATATGAAATTCACTAATAAGGCTCAAACCAATATAAAACCCGATCCTCTGTCGAACAGCCCGACGAGTTGACAGTTCATCATAAAAAAGAAATAACCCCTAACACCCTCGATGATGGCCGTGTTGAATGCATAGATCTCAACCGGAGGGGTCCCCAATATTACTTTTTCAAGTTTCTCCCAAAAGTTCATCATTCAAATATCTCAAAAGTTACCCACAAACTCCACAAAAATCCAAAATCCCAAAAAAAAAAGAACTCTAACAAAATATCTCAAAAGTCCAAAAATATTTAAAAATGAAACTATCCATCAACCACTTAACAGCAAAAATCAATCCACCTTTCGACAGTCTGCCGGAGTGAGACACAATTCAATCTAAACTCCTAAGCTCAACAAAGAGCCAAATGCGCTAGTCGAAATATCACTAGGATCCATATCTTCAAACAATCTTCTGGCAGTAAGGACATGGTACGTGTCCTCTAACGGCAGTTTCAGCACGCCAAATAGCATGCAGGTAACGGTTAGACCCTGGAAGAGTGGCCCGGACCCTCTAACACGAGTGAGGTTTTTCCCGCCAAATGGCACCACAGATAGACGGATTATGGGCCAGAGTCAAAATACGCTCCTATATGCAGTTAGAATCCTTGAGATATGGAATCAAATAGCGAGATTGATCGAAGGGCAAAAGCCCTTGTCAGCTAAGGTGGATTTCAATTTGTTCCACTTAGACAAACATCCAACCCAGGTCTACAAGGTCCCCTGCGCATGGACGAAGCAACCCATGGCTTGCCAGAAAGGATCCTTATGTCAGGTTGGAGTCGACTACAACTCTCTGACTAAGTAGAGCCAGGGACCACGATGCTCGGGGACGACGGAACACATGGGATCTT